GACCAGAAAAAAATTTAAGCTTCAACTGTTCCCCTCTGCAGACCAGCAGAAATCAGCAGTATAGTTAGTTACCCAAGCCCACCTGCATACATACATAGCTATATATCTTCCTCCCCCTCCTGTCCCTTTCTTCATCTGAGTTTTTTCTTCTCTTTGAACAGATTCTTTCCCTTTCACATTATCTATTGCACTTTTTAGATTTTTATTTACTTTTTCAGGTTCTTACACTAAGGAGACAATATGATGTTTGGACATGCAGATCTGATTTATTTCACTTATAAGTGTGGTCTCTAGTTGCATCCATTTACCTATAAGAGCCTCAAGTTTATCTCTTTTATAGCTGAGTAATACTCCATTGTATAAAAATATCACATCATTTTTATCTATTCCTCAGTTGATGGGCATTTGGGTTGTTTCCAAGATTTAGCTGTGACAGAGGCATTGGTGTTACAGTGGTTAGCATAGATGCCTCCCAAGAGTTAGCTATGACAAACTGTGCTGCTATAAACATGGGTGCACATATATTGCTGTGGTAAGAGGTTTTCAGTTCATTTGGGAAGATACTCAGGAGCAGAATAGTTGGCTTGAATGGCACCTGCAATTCTAGTTTTGTGAGGGGTCCCCACACTGATGTCCACAGGGGCTGCACCAGCCTGACTCCCACCAACAGTGGAGCAGGGCTCCTTTTCCCCACAGCTCCTCCAGTGTTTATTATTGGCTGATTTCTTAATGATAGCCCTTCTTTCCAGGGTGAGGTGGAATCTCAGCACTGTTTTACTTTGCATTTCTCGAATGACCAATGATGATGAACATTTTTCATATATTTATTTGCCATTTGTATTTCTACATTTATGAAGTGCATATTCACCTCAAATACCTATTTTTGGATTGGGTTTTTGAGCTTGGGGGACCTGATTTTTTTTTTTAGTTCTTTAAATGTTATAGATAGAAGTCTTTTGCTAAGGGATTGGAAGCGATAATTTTTTTCCCAATTCATGGGTTTTCTTTTTATTCTGTTGGTGATTTCTTTTGACATACAGAATCTTTTCAAAAAAATGAGATCCTAGTTGTTGATTCTTTGAAATATTTCTCATGCAGTTTGTTTTTTGTTCCTGAACTCTCTACCTACCCCTATGTCTTTAAGACTTCTACCTACTTTTCATACTTCATTTTTTTCTACTATTATTTACTATATGGCTAGACTGCATTTTGTTTCCCCATTTATCAATTGATGTACCCTTGGATTATTTTCATTTTAGGACTATTATGAATAATGCTGTAAACATTTATGTACAAGCTTTCAGGTAGGCCCATGTTAAGACTGCTATAGTTTTTTCAAGATAGATATGTTCATAAAGAAAAAAACCTAAAAATTACTATCGGCTAATTGGTTCATGGCACCATTGCTTTTTCAATCTATTAAAATTTTTGTATATTGAAATAAAGAAAATGAAACAGTCTGTAGGGGCTATTACATAATAGGGCAGTACGATTCTACTTCATTGTGAAGATTGTGAGAGTTTTGAGTAATTTTATTTATTTTTTCCTCATCTCTATATTAAAAATTATACCTTTTGTAATAAATAAAAATGCTTAAACTGAATCACATACGTTTCCAGTATCTTTGTACTAGTTCATGAAATAGTTGATGAAAATACCAGAAAGTACAGTTTTAGATTCTTAATCATGATACATGATTATCTCCTTCTTTAGTAATAATTTTATGAAACCCCAGCATCACCAAAAGCAGAATGTATTTTTAATCCCAAAATTAAAAAAAAAAATAAAAATAGAGTAGTTAGGCCTCCCAATGCTTGCTTCTCTTCTCTCACAGCATGACCCTCGGGCGCCCGCGCTTCCCAATATCCGATTACACTGCCGTCTCCCTGTCCATTCACACATGCATTCACTCATATTTAAAAATACTAAATTATGCACATTAAAACAGTAGAAGGAGATAATAAATATCAACGTAAGGCTAGCTTTTTCTGAATTAATATATGTTTTGTACACATAACTTATGAGTTATTTCCAGTTTTTAGTATGACAGAATTACATAAGTAACTGTCTTTACATAAATGGGAGGGGAACTATTAGGTCAAAGAATAAGGCACTAAATCACTTTGTAAGAATAATGTACCAATCTGTTAGGTGAGTAGGATTAATTGATTGAAGGATTGATTAATTTGTGCATTTATTTATTGGTGAATTGAGCTTTATTTTTTGTGCTTCTTTTTCTGGGAATGAGCTGCTCATATTCTTGGGCTGCTTTTCTTTTATGTTGTTTATTCTGGTCTTGATTTTCAGGAGCACTCTTTTTGGTATTGTATGTTGCAAACATTTTCTCTCTGATTGTTGTATTGTTGTGAACTTTTTCTCTCCGTGAACCTAACCTAAAAGACAATGTTTAATTTGAAGATATTCAAATTTGTTTGGAAGTTAGAGATCTTCATTGACTTATAACCATGATTACTTTGAAACATTTTAGACTATCAGTAGAAAAAAGTCAATTCCAACAATCAATCATTCAATTTAAAAATGGAGGGCTAGCAAGATAGCTCAGCAGTCTAAAGCACCTGCTTAGGCAAGCTTAAGCAAGCATGCAGGGACCCCAGTTCAATCCTCGGCACCACATGCCACCCCAGCCCTACTCCAGGCTGGGCTGAACCGATCACAAAAATGAAATGAAATGAAATAAAATAGAGATATTTGAAGTCAAATCTCAGAATGCACACACACACACACACACACACACACACACACCCCTCTTGAATTGTATCATTCTACTGTTCCCAATGTCTTTATGTAAGTTCAGTTTTTGTAGAGGATTTCTAACTGATGATCAACTTATTATACCCAGTTGAATTAAACTAGCATAGTGTTGGATGCAGGAGGCCCACCTGAGGGTTATTACCAGCAACATAAAGGCAGAACAGGAGAAGCTGTCTAAACACTGTTAGAGATGCTGTTTGGAGAAGCCATGGGAAACTGCAAGTTCCCTTGAGCTCTTCTGCTGGAAGACCTTGTCACTCTAACTTTCCTGATGAGCTTTGGAGTAGCTTTGGTCCTCACCTTGAGCATCACTTCCTAGCTCCAGAGGCAAAGATGGTGCACTGCTCAGCCTCATGGAGAAGCTTGGTGCATTGGCTTTCCTGATGGAAACTCAGCTTTCCTCATTGCTTGAAGAGCTCAGAACCTCACTGTTGCTGAGGATAGCT